ATAGATATATAATTAAAAAAAGAAAAAAAAAAGAAAAAAATAAACTTAACTTGCTATAAAAAGTATATATGTACTGGTATCGTAATATTAGAGTTCTCTACTAATAAAAAAAATTTTTATTCTGTATTATAGTAAAACCGTCAAGAGTATTTGTTGGCGTCCCTGCCTCAACAATTCGACCGATGGACGCTTAAGGCCTTGCTTTCCAACCATCATTTTTGCATACACTGATTCCACATCAGTTCTGTATATCTCCAGGTAACAATTATGTTTTTTTTAATAAATATTAAAATTTTTATTATATAATATTAAAAATTATGTTTTACGTATTATTATATTTTATATATTATACATACTAGAAATAAAGTTTCAAGTTCGGTTTCACTTCATTTTGAAAGATGAAATTACATTTTTTTTTTCATAAAATAGTAAATTAACTAATGGTTTAATGTATGGACAATAAATACACTTATATTGATATTTTACCTTTAGTATTAATTGTGCTTCATTATTACTTATTTACTTTATACTTTTAGTTAATATTGGAATATTATTCAATTAATAATTATTTTCAAAATATTATTTTACAAAAATATAATAGTCCTTGCCGATCCGACTTGAGATCTGTTCGGCAAAATTAACTGTTTTGTTAGCTGTTAGCTGTTTGAGTGTCTTTTCATAAACTGCTAACCCTAATTGTTGGGAACAAATGAATTGGAAATTCATATTTTTGTATTTGGAATGGAAAAAAATGTAGATTTTAATTCTAAAAATTCAATTCTATGAAATTAGACATGACTATATCAAATTCCACAAAAATAGGTGAAATTTTAATGAATTCCACAAAAATATGGAATGCAACTTTTTATGACAGAACTATCATTTTCTATTTATAAAATCAATTTTTCTTTTTTTATTATTTAAATTATTTATTTTATCAAACTTGACCGAAACCTTTTAAAAATTTTATTTTTTATTATTTTATTTATATTTTAATATTTTCATCTTTTATTTAATATTTTCAATCTTTATTTAATATTTTTTTAGCTTTTTTTTACTATGAGAGAAAATTTTAAGTTAAATTATCCATTTATCACTAAAATTAAATGCAATATATTTTTATTATATATTGATTTTAATAAAAAAATATAAGAAAAAAATTATATAGCATAACATAAATATAATTGGTATTTATATTTATTTTTATTTGAAATTTAGCATAACATAAATATAATTGGTATTTATTATTTATTTTTATGAAATTACTATTTCAAAGATATTTTAAGAAATAAAAGCAAATAAATTTTCAATTATAAATTTATTTCATATATAATCATGTGGAATTTAATTGAATTACATGTTTTAAATTAATTACACCAAACATGATAATTCATTCACAAAAATGAATTCCATATTTATCAAACGGAATATAAAAGCTAAACGTTATATGAGTTAATTTTTTATAAAATGCTATTTTAACCTTTAAAATCTACTTTAAATGTTACGTTACCAAACACAGTAAAAAATAGCGTATTCCGAGTCTTGATTACTAATCTATAAAAGTAATTGAAAATTACTTTGTAAGTCAATACAATAATTGACTCCGTTGGTCCAAATTGAGCCAAACCCAAAATAAATCAAACATGTACCCTAACCCGTATTCATCTGATTCTACACGTTTGGTAGATCAATCCACCCTCTTTTCTTGTAGACTCTTTTCTTCTCTTCATTAATTTGCGATAGAGAATTCAGAACTAGAACTCGAGGACGACACAAGGTAGAGGGAAGATAATATGGGAATTTTGAGGAGCCTTCTACAATGGAGTCGGATTGAGGTTAATTCATGATCCTATTTAGTTTTTCCTTTTTCTTTTTGAAATAATACTCAATTTGCTTCTTAAATTTAGAAACAATATTTAAATTTTGTCCAAAAATCAATTTTTTTATGCAATTTACTCTCTAAAATTTTACGAAACGAACAAAAAAAACTCGTTTATTACTCAAAAGACTTTTAATTTAAATCAAAATATAATAAAATATTTAATATAGATCAAATACAAATAAAAAATTAAAAAAAAATAATAGATATTTTAAAACCAAATATTCATATTATCAAATATTTTCTAAATCTATAATTTTTTTAAATTATATTATATTTAATTATATTTTAAATTAAAGATAAGGCACTATAACTTTCCTATAACTATTATTAAGTTTTTAAATAAGTTTTCTGTCCTAATTTCAAACTTTTAAAATAATTTTATAAGTTAAAAATATTTAAAATTATTTTTTTTTTTGAAATATTAAGGTTTTTGTTCTTTTGGTGCAAGTTTAAGGGGTAAATTCTATAAAAAGTTAATTTTGGACAAACTAAATATTGCTCCCAAGTTGAGAGGGCAAATTGAGCTTTATTCCTTTTTTTTTCCAATTTTCTCTTCTTTTTTTCAAAGGTCAAATTAGATTACTCTTTAGAAATTAAAAAATGACTCATTAATTATTGTTGTATTAAGCTTGCAACACTCCATCAATAATGTTTCGGTTCATACGAGAAGCAACTTTAATCTTTATAAGGTTAATAACACAAATCAATATTTGAAAGCGCATTTTATGGTGAAGGTAAAAATCTATGCCTCTACCGTCCAATAAGAATTAGATCTAATTGTAAAAAAAAAGAAAAGAAAATACTCATAGGCTGACGTAGCGAAAAAAATTGGCTAAGGGAGGGTCCAATTAAAAATTAAAGAACATTATTAGAGAAAACAAAAAACTATGTAAAAATTTATTGAAAAGCCGTAATATTATATTCATTTTAAGCTTTTTTTACTGCTAATACGGTAAAAATTAAATATGCTTAATTACAAAACGAATCTCAACTAATATAAAATTTGTTATTTTATACACGGAAAACATTTCATACAGACTTTACAATAAAATATAGTTTATTGCTAAGAAAATTATGGAGGTTAAAAATTGAGAATATTAGAATTCAAAATTTATTTATTAAATAAATATTTAAAATATCTTTCTGCATAATTTACTTGTTTATTTCTTTTCTTTCCTTTTTATTATTCTATATGTCAAAATTAAAGTTTTCACTTATTAAAAGAAAAAATTCACATGTTAGTTCATATTGGGTCTATTTTTTTTTTTTCGGTTAGTGCCATTAAATTTTCACTAGAAAAGGTCAATTTTTAATCAAAATTAAAGTTATAGAGCTTAAAATTGATAAATAAAAGTTTAAAAAATCATAATGAGTAAAATCATATAAATTCAGAGACTAATCTACACATTTTAACAAAAAAATTGGGTATGTAAAAATTTTTTTTAACCAATGGGCCCACTGCTAGGTCGGTCCCTGCTTGCAGCAATCCTATTTTGACAGGGGTGATTGGTCAACAAGATATGCCAAAAAAAAAAAATAATAATAATAAATCTAGATGTGAGTTGATAACGTAAGTTGAATATATAAACGTACTTGCAGGGAGAGGCGATGAGCCTTAACTGTAGCTAAATTCTGAACTGAATTAAACAGTCTCTAGTAGTGAGGTTTAGATACCGATGATTTAAAAATAAATAAATAAATAGAAAAGAATTGCAGCTAGCATTTTTCTTTTTTTTTTTTCCATGTCCTAGGTCAACTTGCAAGATTTATATCTGAAATTTACATCACGTTCAAAGATAAATAATTAAATAAATAAATCTGATTTTTATACGTGGCCAGTAGTAACAAGTAAGCATGTCTTTTTCTTACATTTTTCTTGAACATAATTTCAAAGTCAATAGTTTGAACAATCGCAACAAAAAAAATAATAGAATGACGTCTAAAAGTAAGATGATTTTATACGCTAAAGGAAAAATTGATAAATATAAAATCACACGGGGAAAAATTATCTTAAAAATCATATTATCTAATTAAAGTAATAAAAATAAATGATTCATGTAGTTGATCTAAATTAATAACGGATTCAATATTTATTGAAGTTTCAATTAATAATTTATACTCCTTCTATCCCATTTTGTTTTCTTGTTATTCCTTTTTCAGATGTTCCAAAATGTTTGCAAGATTTTTAAATTTGTATATTTAAACAACTATTTTTTTCATAATAACCTTTATAATTATTCATTAAATGAATGAATTTTATTAATATATTAATGAGTTAAAGGTAAAAAAGGGCAAAATAATTTTTGTTGACTAAATTCTTAATACGTGTGTTTTGTCAAACCATGCAAACAAAATGCGACGGAAAAAGTACTACAATTTGCAAGACTAAGTGCAAACAAGATTTATTTCTAGTCTAGCGGACTGGATGTTGTGGTTTTAAAAAAAATCAATTTTAATATTCTAAACTTTTGTATGAAGTCATTACTTTATTATTATCATTTTTGATAAAATTAATTATTTTAATAGCAGTTTCATAAAGTAACGTCTTCATAATCAGCTTATTCAAATTTTAAAAATCAAAATAAATACCATCATCAAACATCATAAATAGTCGAGACAGAATTTTGGCCTCTATCAAAATATTAAATATTACATAAAAAGTTGTTGCAGAGTAAAATCTCCAAAGAAAGCCTAATTTATGTCTTGAATTTGTAATTCAGGAAAAAAAAAAAAAGCCTGAAATTTGCCTCCGGATTTATAATTTACGTGAGATCACAATACCAGGGATTTTTTTGCATTTTTGAGTGAGTAAGCGTAAAATTACAATTTCGGAGGCAAATGAGCCAAAAAAAAAAAAAAAAAAAAAAAAAGCGTAAAATAAGCAGATTTCTGGTAGGCAAATGAGGCCAAAAAAAAATAAAAAAAAAAAAAAATCGAAATATATCTATATTTTTCTGAATTGAAAGTTTTTAAAAGAGCGACATTAATTTTTTATTCCGCTATTATCAATAATGAACTGAAACAAAAAAAAAAAAAAAAAAAAAAATCGAACTTTAGGATTTTTTTTCCTGAATTATAAGTTTTAAAGAGCACATTATTTTTTATTCCCTATAAATAATGAACTGAAACTTTTCAGAATAAAATATATTATTTCCATGCCCGGTTGGTGTAAGAAACAGACCAAAAAAAAAAAGTAACCAAATACATCTCCAAGATACACAGATATGGCCCTAGACTCTCTGTATGTAAGCATTTTATACGGATAAGATTATTATTATTATTATTATTATTAACTAATTATGATTCTGCCTTTACTTGAAAGCTTCAATAGTCTCCTTGTGTTTGCTTGAGCTCTCATTATTTCGAGGTACATAAGGAGTAGCAATCACTGTCAACTGGTTTTTTCTTCCAACAGTTGCGCCAAAAGCTTCTGTCATGTCTAAATCCTCACCTCTGATTCCATCTGGGAGTTTAAAATCAAAATGGTATAGTAATTTAGCAAGAGGGAGTTCAACATTCGCTAGACCAAAAGTCATTCCTGGGCAAATCCTTCTTCCAGCGCCAAATGGAATATAAGTAAAATTGTTCCCTTTAAAATCAATGGAGCTGTCACTGAACCTCTCTGGTATAAAACTTTCTGGATCTTCCCAATACGCTGGATCTCTCCCTATCGCCCATGCGTTAACGATGACTTTTGTCCTTTCAGGAATATAATACCCTTCAATTTCAGAGTCTTGGTTACTTTCTCTTGGAAGTAGCAAGGGTACTGGAGGATGTAACCTTAAAGTTTCTTTGATCACTTGTTTTAAGTAGGGTAGATCTTGAATGTCTTCTTCGTCGATTGTTGTCTTCCCTTTAGCAGCCTGTCGCACCTCTTCTTGTGCCTTCTTCATCACTTTTGGATTTCTGATCATTTCTGATAGAGCCCATTCTGTTGTTGTTGAAGAAGTGTCGGTTCCAGCAACAAACATGTCCTGTATTACAAACATTATGATTATTTTTGGATCTTCTATTATAATTTTCCGGTCTAATTCTGAAAACAATAAAAAGAATAGACAAAGCTGAGGTACTTACCCAAATGACAGCCTTAACATTGTCAATGGTAACAGGACACCGCAGATTGCCTGTTTCCTGAAATCTAAGAAGAACATCAACTAAAACTTCATTGTCGGGTTGAGTTTGACCGCTCAACAATTTCTCTTTATGTTCATTGACAATCCTATCCAAGACACCGTCCAATTTTACACGCATTTTTTCCAATCTTGGCTTCATATTCGTAATTATATGAAGGAATTCCCTTTCAGGATATAGATCAGCCAAGTCAAAACCACCAGCTAGAGACAGAGATTCCCTAGCTATTGAAATAATTGTCTTTTGGTCCTCCCATTTATTTCCAAAAGCTGCTCTAACGGCTATAACACTAGTCATCCAGAAAATCTTTTCCGTCAAATTGACCGGCGATCCTCCGGCAGATCGGATCGACTCTAGAAGATTCGAAACCTCATCTTCGCGAAGAGGAGCCAAAGACTTGACCTTTTTAGCACCCAGAAGTTCATTGAAACAAAATTTTCTCATTTGCTTCCAATATTCTCCTTTGGCGAAAACAAGATCTGTACTGTCGTAAGATAAGATCTTGGAAGCCAAAAGTTCCGGCCGCTGAGCAAAAACATGGTCTTGCGTTCTCAAAACCTCTTGGGCCATTTTGGACGAGGAAATAACTATTGCAGGAACTTCTCCTAGTTGTAGATGCATAAGGGGACCATATTGATTGGCTAAGTCTTTAAGAACATGGTGTGGTAGTGAACCTCCTAAATTGTGTAAGTTTCCTATAAAAGGAAGCTTTTTTGGTCCTGGGGGTAGTTTTTTAATGGCTTTACCGTTGTCTGCTTCACTTTTCTGGCAAGATACCTTAAAAGGAAGCTGAGAAGGTGAACGATGGGGGAGAGATACAAAAGTTGGAGGTCCCATCTTTAATGGGGTGAAATTAAGTACTACCATGTTTTCAAGAGAGAGGGAGAGAAAAGTGTTTTGTTATGTTTTGATGGATTATTTAAATTTCTTGGTGTAAGTGCTTTGTTTATATAGAGAGAGAGATTTGTGATCGGTCAATAATGGCAATGTTCTTTGGTCTAGCTTGATATATTTTGGAGAATTCAAATCCACCCAGTTGTAGCCAAATTATTATATTTGTGTTATGCGTAGCATAGGATACTTCGAAAAAGGCAGTCGAGTCTCAAGTTACGTGGGTGGAGGGGCCTGGCGGGTGGCGACCGTATGTTTTTTATTCACAACTAGATAGTCACGTATTGTATGGCTTATTTTATTACTGTATGTTGGATTGTGCGGCTTATTTTATCATTGTATATTGGAAAAAAAAGCTCAATTTGCACTGTGAATTTGGAGGCAATATTCAATTTGCATATAAAACTCACCACCTTGCAAAAACCAGACCAAATTGTTTTGCCTCTGGGTCAGCATGCGCGTGACAAACACACAAGAGGATGCGTCGGAAATATGAAAAATAGAGCTAAAAGAAAAAGAAAATACTTTTGATTCTATATTTCATCATATTACATTCAAAAATATACAAATCTATATATAAACAACACAAGCTGTCATTTAAACCAAAAACCAATAACAAATAGAGAGATCAATTCGTAAGAGACATAAACCAATCAATTAAAATTAAGTAATGATACTTTCACTAACCAAAAAATGAGATTTCAAATTAAGTAAACAGTGAATGGGACGATTCAAATAAAGGTCAGTGGAAAAATATCATAAAACTAAAATCAATTTTAAAAGTTTAAGAATTAAGATGCGATCTAGCTTATATAAATCCATCCTAAATCAATTAATTTAGAGTAAAAAACAAAAATTAATTTTTAAAAATGAATCCTGAAAGAATAGATTTAATAAAATAAACTTGCTGATTTTTCAACCCAACAAGACCAGCAATGTGATGTGGATGAAGAGTTAAGGCAAGCAAGAGATATAGTTAGCGGATACAAGAGTACATTCAGGGCTTCTAGAACAGAGGCCTGCGAAGACCTGCCTCTTAGTGAAGCTGATGCAGACTTCGGTTTTAGAGGAGAAGATAACATCAATGATAGATTCAAGAGGAAGATAGGTAGTAATGAGCCATATCCAAACTCTTCCGATCTCGATAGGAGAGAGGTAAATGGTGATGATGAGAGTGAGAAAGAGGGTAGCGTCTCCAGTAAAAAAAAAGAGATAGGAAGTTGCATAATGATCCAACAACAGCAGTCCCATATTGGGAATTAGGCATGATTTTTGTCTTAGCTTCCTTATAATTTAAAGACCTTGCAGTTAGTTTATCATGATCCACTCAGTTCTTTCGCCATAGTTTACCTTGCATAATGATCCACTCAGTTAGATCGGTTTCGATCAACTTTATCATGTCGATTCAGTTCTAAATGCAACTAATTAATTTCTATGAAATTGGCTTAATTAGACAGTGACTTTTGTTCAAATCAACTACCCGACAAATCAAACTTCTCTTGAATAAGTTGACTGAACCAAATCAAAATGAGTCGATTTAATATGATCGGTGGTTTTACACAACCCTATCTATACCCATGTTAAGTTGCTTTCCATGAACTTGAATTGTAGTTAATAATTGTTTTGACTCCAGCGTTATTACTGGGACGTGGTTGGAATGGGTTGTTGAGCTTTAAATAGGATTTTTGACTTTGAGTTTTTAATTATTTAGTAATACTTAAGCATAATTTATCAAATACTAAAATAGTATTTTGGCTTATAGTTCTATTACCACGGTTCATAAAACTTTAAAAATAAAAAAAATAAATAGATATTTCATATTTTTATTTTAATGAATTTTTTATAAAAATTAAGAAGTATATTGATGCATAATCTTATAACCAAATAATAATAATAATATAATTAAATTGTAAAATTATTTTTCAAATCATTCTCATAATCATATATTTTTATTTTAAGAATTTTTATATAAAAATTAAGAAGTATATGATGCATAACTTATAAACCAAATAATAATAAATAAATATATTAAATTGAAAATTAATTTTTCAATTCAATTCTCATAATCATATAATATATATATATATTCTTATTAAATTATAAAAGAATTTTCTAACAATGAAAAGTTAAATATTTATACATAAATAAATAATTTTATTATCATTTAATCTCAAATTTAAATTTAATTTAATTTTTAATAAATTATTATCTCTAATTTAAATTTTAACGTTTTCTTCGTCTTAAAATATTCTATTTTAATATTGAAAGTGAAAATTATTAAAATATTAAGTTTTTTTTTAATATATAACGAGACACAATGCATGAAACTATGCACTTAATTATGATATATTAATTTAACATTAAAATTACTATTATCTTTTTCAAAATAATTACTATTTTTTACTAAATAAATAAAAATAATAAAAATAATTTACTTTTCATAAATATTAATATAATTAATGCTCCATCCATTCTATTTTATTTGTATGGTTTGACAAAACACTTAAATTAAGAATTTAATTAACAAAAGTTATTTTGTCATTGTTTACCCTTAATTTATTAAGATATTAATAAAAATTTTTTATTTAATGAACAATCATAAAGGTTATCATGAAAAAAATAATTATTTACATATATAAATTTAGAAACCGTGGAAACATTTTGAAACATTTAAAAAGGAATAACAAACAAACAAAATGGAACGGAGGGAGTATCAGTTATATTATTAATACTTAATAATATTTATTAATTAACTTAAATGATAACTATTGTAAAAATCTATTGTATTTATTAATGCCACAAATGAGTTTATTACTCCATCCGTTACATTTTAATAGCACCATTTGATCTTTAAAAGGATTAAGAAAATAATTGAAATATATTAATTTTCTAAAAATATATGGTAGAATATCTAAATTGCCCTTCTTAAAATTAAAAGGTACTGATTTAAATTGCCACACAAGCCACCTAATAAATATGGGTAAACTTGGAAAAAAAAAATTAACGTACTCTCAAAATCCTAAATGAGCACTTAAAGTGGAATAAGATAAATTGTCTATCTGTAGCTATTAAAATGGAACGAGAGAGTATGTTTTTTCAAAAAAGAAAAAAATTAGTATGCGTCTTTTTGTCGATTTTTAAAGGTTTTCTAGAAAACTTTACCATTTTAAATTATTTGTATAAGTCCTAGATAACTTTATACTACCCCCGTTCCATAACACTTATCACATTTGAGAAAATAGTTTATTTCAAAATACTTATTACATTTGTAGTTTTAAAGAGTAATAAATCTTTTTTCCATATTTATACCTTGTATATGACCCCAATAATTATTACTTAATCTAATAGTTTTCTTAAAGAACTAGTATTAAATTAAAGGTAATACTGTATTAAATTAAGAAAAAAAAAGAAAAAAGATATTAGAAGGTAAAAAAAAGTCAAATTTTGGGTTTGACGGGTCAATCACGTTTTTCAATTTTTACGATACAAACCGATTTTATCCGGTTTTTACATCTGCTATTTTTATATGTCAAATCAGATTTGATCGATTTTCAGTTTGCGGTTGAATAGATCCGATCGACCGGTCTAATTTTAAAAGCACTGCTTTTGAGTTTGAAGTCTACTTTAATTACAACATTGTAATATTATTTTTAAAGTTTTTACTTTGATTCGTATTTTCACAGAGAAATCTCTTAAGATAGAATAAGATTCGTTTTGCATCGTATATCATATGTAAGAAACTTTTTACTTACAGAGGAAGAAACAATGTCACCGGATTATTATCCAACTTATATATATATATATATATATATATTTTCCATTTAGTCAATTAAGAGCTGCCGATTTAGAATGATTTTCCAAGAAAAAAAATCACAACTGACATGGACAAAAGTCCCCCATAGAAAACTCAAGACAACGTACAATAAATAAATAAGTAAATAGAAGTAAAAATTTATAGGGAAAAAAAAAATATATGCAACTAATTGTCCGGTCAGACGTCAACCGGATGACATTTTCTAATTCATAACGTAAGAATTATACTTCGTTTCGTAGCTGCAGGTTTGGTTTGATTTTCACGTAGTTAAAAAAAAAAATATTTATATTATAATTTCTTATTGTTTTTAGTTCCTTTAACCATAAATTGAATGCTTTTTATTTATTTATTTATTTATTAAATGAGTTGAGTTTTACTTAATTAAAATTCAATTAAATTACTTCAAACTCTGAATATGAAGTCCCTTTAAACACTTTGAAAGAAACACTTTGTCTCCTGTTGTGGGCCTGTCCAGCACGAACAGTCGTGCCAATGGATTTCATATACCATATGATTAAAATAAAAAAAATTCAACTCAATTTAAATTTAATTTAATTTAATTAGTAAATAAGTTTTAAATTAAGATTTTTTGTCCATTTATTAAAAGAGATTAGCTGTGCCTAAATACCGCTGGATACCCACTTAAGCCTTACAAATATAAATTAGTAAAATTATGTTTAAGTTTTCTTTTCATAAATCTAGAATCTAGCTAACTTGTAAGTTTAAAAGGACTGAATTTATCATAATTCATATTTAAGGAGAAATTATAAAAGATTTTGATTTTTGAGGGGCATGGTCCCCTCAAAACTTCTGAAAATTCTAAAATTATTTAAAGCTTTCATCCATTTTCAAAATTTAGCATTGACCCTAATATCTTTTGTATATAAATAATATGTTTTTTTTTTTTTTTTTTTAATAATTGTTTTTTTTTTTTTTGTTTGGCTGTCTCTCAAATTGTTTTTTTTTTTTTTTTTTTGCTGTCCTCAAATTGACATTTATCCTTGATTAATTAGAAATGACGTGGTTAGTCTTTTCACTTATATGAATTATTTTAGCTGCCCTCAATTAATAGACAAATATAGATAATCATTACTTTTTAAAATTTATTTATAATTATACATACATAGATAATTACGATTTTAAATTTTTTGTTATATATATCCCATGGCTCTTTAATTATGCTCTCATCTTCAAATACAAAAGCGAAAGCTTGATGGAATTCTACAATTACAATTATTGAGTTTTATTAATTCCTTTTCAAGTATTACAGTTTAATTAATTATT